AAGTCAGCATCCCCATAAAGCAACTTTTGCCAAAAGCACTAAAAACTGGTTCAATGACCATGGGATTACTGTGCCTGATTGGCTTCTCCATTCTTCCTCCATACTCTGGGTCCTTGGTTTCCAAATGAGATGCAAAAGTTGCTGTCATCAGAAAAGAGGACTTTGGACCACTGAGCAACAGGACTTTGGACCACTGTGCTTCATTAAGACCAGGGTCAACGCAGCCATCTACTCGGCTTATACTCGAGTATATACGGTAAGCTGATATGAAGGACTAATCAACATTTCTCAAAAACATTTAGTTGCAGTTATTGCTGCCTTAAGGCAGGCACAGCAGTTACTAAAGGTTCACATACTTTTACCATACACAAATATAGAACTTTGGATCATTTTCTTCAATAAATAAGTGAACAAGTATATTGCTGCTTACTCAGTGCCTATATATCAGTATGAGACAAGAGAGACAGATTTCTGTAACTGGTGTTTTTAGCCTATTTGGGGCCCTTTAATCTTGCCTTTCTGTTTGCATCCTAGTCCCCTTGCTTGCCTTAACTTGTAACCTGATTTCTCTATTATTTTGACTCAACAAGGTTAACGTAGAAATATGTGCCCTTCTTTCCAATTCATTTTTGTTCAGTCTTTTAAAAGCAACTTTTATTGTTATCCTGTCATCTTCCCACTGAGAGCAGTAATGAAAAATGCCTCCAGGATTTCCTTGTTTTTTAAAAAAAGTCATAACCACAAAAACACCTGGATTTCTCATTGATTTGGGGGTTTTATTATTTTGCTCTCATTTTTTGTATCGCCAGTGATGAAAGCCTGAACGTTTGTGTTTGTACATGCTAAGCTTACAGCAGCAAACTGTTTTAACACATTCTTGCATATCCAGCGCTTATAAAAATTCAGCATTACTCACCCACATACGTAAAAATATCCTTTCTCCTGCAGCAAAATCCTACTAATCTCTTTACAATAAAGCCGGAGGTTATCTTGAACATACTTAGCAGAGGCAGTTTCTGCCACAGCTGGAACATCTCTTGAGAAGCAAACGATCAGGTAAGTTAACACGCCATTTTCAAGAAAGAACCTGAGCTCATCTCTGAAAGAGAAAACCAAGGAAGAGGCTGGAATTATTTATTATTATTATTTATTAAATTTATATGCCGCCCAATCCTGAAGGACTCCGGGCGGCTTACAAAGAAGGAAAGAAGAAAAGAAAAGAAAAGAAGAAAAGGATAGTTTAAAATTCACAACACGCATTCGGAATGAAGAAAATACGGTTCCAATGGACAACTACTAAATGTTAAAATACTAACAAGGAGCAGAAGAAAAACTTACTGGAACAAGTAATCTCTGGCCTTATGGCGGCAGCCAAAAAACAACCACGTCTCTCCAAACATATAATCTGGGTGCTTTTCTCTGAACTTCTGCCTAAATAAAACAGCCAATTAAAAATAATACAGTTATAAAATGTATTATGCATAGCTTCTATCAGAAAAGTTAAATTATTATTAGTTCCTAGAAATAGATTATAAACCTACCATTTACAATATTCGCAGCAAAATATTTTTTTATATATACAAAGAATAACATATATCTAGTTTCCCCCTTAATTAAAGCAAATTGTACCGAAGAATTATATGTGCACAGCATTATGAAGGATTCTGGATCCGAGACTCCCATTGCAATGAAATTACTGTTTTACACTTACAAGGCCCTCAATTATGGTAGCAAGGTATCCACATTACGTAAAACTTTAAACCTAGAATCCGAGGACAAATTGAAATTCTTGATCAATCAGTCCATTTACCAATACATCTGTGCTAATTAGAATTAGGGGTCATTGTGCATAAAAGTTTAAGGACTCATCAAACTGCATGTTTCAATGAATCTCTAAATGAAGAAAAGCTAACCCAATAGTAATAGCACTGTTATATACTGCTTCACAGTGCTTTATAGCCCTCAAACAGTTTACAAAGTCAGCATATGGCCCCCAACAATCTAGGTCCTCATTTTACTGACCTCGAAGGGATGGAAGGCTGAGTCAACCTTGAGTCTGATGAGAATTGAACTGCTAAACTGCTGGCAGTCGGCAGTCAGCAGAAGTAGCCTGCAGTACTACATTCTAACCACTGTGTTACCACGGCTCACAAGCTCTACCTGATATAAAATTAAACACAAAACCTTTCTGCAATTTTAAATAAACAGATACTATTTAATGTAGCGATTTACAGCCTCAGAATATTAAAAAAAATGAATATGAGAGTTTCAGGAGTTTGGGTATCCTTTCAGATCAGTACTATGTAGCATTTCCTTGCAACTGTTACCATCTTGCAACTTTTAAAATATAGTTAAGTGTCTATTTTTTCTTTTGGATCCCCCTCCCACATTCTTCCTTTAATAACTCTTCCAGCTTAGAAATATTATTAAGGCTCCTTCATGTACTGTATATTTGAGATTTCCTCACAAACCTTTATCTATCTAGACAATACTTTATGGTTCATTGCTGAAACCTGAGGAACAGGTATAGCTAAGTGTTGTGGCCCAGCAGGAGCCGTTGGAGCCGCCACCAGACTCCGACAGCGAGGGGCCCTATGAGTCGGCTCTGGAGGACTGGACAGGGTTCCGAGCAGGGCGCAGAGAGACTGGTTGGCCACTAGGTGGCGCCTGAGCCTTGGACCAGTGGGGAGGAGACAAGGGAGAGT